ATAAGCTTCTAAACCACTTAGTTTTTACCTCTACTAATGGCACTCGACTTTCAGATGACAATGGCTACAAACTAAGACACACTAAGCGTACAGTAGCTATCGAACAATGTAAAACAGCCACCAGGCAAAAGTTTTACTTTATTGGGCATGCACATATATGGAATAAAATACCAATGGAAATGCGTCAAGCAGGTATATTAGCCTCCTTCAAAAAAGTGCTTAACGACAAACTACAAGAGTTTGCAAACGATTGTAGTCCTAGTTCCTATCTGAGAGCCTCCGAAATTATGGGTCCATTTAATGTATAAGCTTAAATACTACAGCTGTCGTTTTTGCCTATATTTATAATTTTAGATGAAACATAAACGATTAAGATACTTACCCTCAAACAGACAAGAAGTTTCGTTTGTGAAACTTCTACCCAACACAATAAGTGGAATAAAATGGTCATAAACCGACAACATGAAAAAGATATAACTCCACACAACATCACATGGACAGATGTATTCTCGTCGGGCACCATACATACCTCACCAATTACAACCCAACTTTCCTAAGTTAATGTGATGAACTTATATCCATAATGTTACTGAGCAGTCAATATCCACAACTCCTGTCGGAACAACAAGCAGTAGAAATCCATCAATTAATGCGTCTAAAGCTTATGTATTTTACTCCCAACAGTGACATTGTAGATCAAATGAGATAAACATATCGCTGATTTCAAAATAACACATCAATGAACTATAATTCAAGGATTCTGCACACAACAAAATTATGTGTGAAAATTGACTTCAAGCTTTATTTTTTTCCCAGGCACTTATAACCCATCCACTAAAGACCTGGTTTTCTTGTTAATGCGAAGACAATACTTCCGTATTTCCTGATGTGTTGCACTTACCGACAATTTAGCAGATTTTTCCAGCTGTGCACAGAAATGATTGTATATAAGTGGGAAGGCTGTTTTATACTACTGACATTGACATTTATCAAGTGTATGTATAATCATCAGCGAACATGTATAACCTATCATGCTACCGCCTGTTAATTGTGATTGAATTATATGGCTTCATTTCTGTAACAATTTGATGATGCCAGTAAACTGGTGTCCTTTATGTACTGTACTGTTAGAATAGATTTATTTATTTATTTAAATAACAATGGCGTCGAAGAAATTTCATTCTTCATTATTAAACTGAATGAAAAGAATCATGTTTTTTATTCTAAAAACAGTAGCATCCGTAATCTTTTTTTCAGCTTGTTTTTATATATACTATAGTGTATCGAGTCGCACTGAGTTCTTGGTGCAACTGTATGTAACTGCATTTACATAAAGTAAAGCAATACAAATGCTCCTGTTTTTAGAATAAAAAAGATTCTTTTCACTCAGTTTAGTAATGAAGAATGGAATTTCTTCCACGTCAGTGTTATTTAATTGAAGTGTTAATCTCTGTAGGCCTTTAAAGGAATAAATTCGGCGCGGAGAACTCCTATGGAAACAGAAAGTACTCTTAGTTTACTAAATCTTACTGACTTCCTGTATAAATTTGATATTTGTCAAGTGTTTATGTAAAGTCTGCTGGAGTATTCAGTAAAGTAAAAGTTGTAGTGCACAACTCCCAGACTTGTTGTAGTCATGCAATAAAGTCACTCGCCAGAGGAGAGGATCGACTACTGTTCAGACATCCACGCTCTCCCTAACATACCGGATAAGCCCCTCAGTATTAGTATTTAAAGAATGACAGCAAACTCCAACTCCCATTCGCCTATTGCAGGCACAAGAAAAAGGCGTACCATGGGTCAAAAACCCGTAGTTACATTCTCCACCTAACTTTTAAATCAGGCATCATCCGTGAAAATGGATAGTAGGCAGACATAAATAACGACAGATACCAAAGAGGGGTCCAGTAAGTGGAGTAATGTGGTTTCCCCTAAAGGGCGAGACAAGGCTACCGTAAAAGCCACATTGTCGACGAAGGAAAGAAAGATGCTTGCACCATGGAGCAAGAGAGCCACCCTTAGAAAGCCTGATCTCTCAGGCAGGTCACTTATTTTCCATAAAGCAGTATAATCATCGGCTTCGGATCCCAAGACCAGGTTTGAACATGAACATAACGTAGTCAGACAACTCTTAGATAAGCTGCAGCCAACAGCGGCATTAGGTGTAGCTATTCACAGCTTGTGGAGGATCGATCGAAGGGCTGACACTATAGTAAATCAGTCGGTACACCTCAAATTCTTGCTGAACTCAGAAACAGAGGGACGATATACCAATCAACTGTCGAGATCTGGGGATCAGGCATAGATATCAGTGCTGACTTATGCCTAATAGACTGCGTAAAATAGTCTGTGACTCTAGAATTAGGCAAACTGTACCTAAACGTCTAGAAAAGCCTCACTATTAAGGGTTTTCGGGTTGTCAGGGCTTGAAGTCTAATGGTCCCGAAACCTCTGTGGGTGGAGCACAGAAGTACTAAACTGAGCTAACAGTTTGCTACAAAAATGCCCGCAGTTTGTTAAACAAATGGACTGAACTTGATAATATGGTGGCAGACTCCGGAAACCCAGGTATCATTGTCGCTTATAAAACTTCACAGTGCACAGGGCCGAACGAATAAGCCACGAAAGGGGGGCGTAGTCGTTTACCTCAAGAAATGCTTAACCGTGCATAGCACTGAAGCCCTCGCACACGAAAGTGTGAACATCTTCACTGCAGGTTTGAATGCGCAGGGCAAGATATTGTCCTCATCCCTGACTGCAGTGCTGATGACTTTCCAATGCAGAAGTTGGGCTCCTGGACATTTCAATGACGCAGTCTCGTAGTCGGCGATTTTAACGTCTCGACATTTGGCTGGATAACGCTTATAACACCATCTCCAGACAACTCCTCTGATTATAAACTGCTGGAATTCAGCATTCCGCCAGCTTTAGTTCAACATGCTATGAAGCAATCGCATTATGAATCACAGCACTCCTCTTCAACCCTTGACCAAGTGTTCTCTGTTAGTGCGGATGTTCACCTCAAACAACATCTTCATCACATATGGAGAAGTGACTACGCTGTGCTCACTTTCAAGTTCACAGCAACGGCAGCAAGAACCAAACCCCCAGCTTGACCAAACGTTTGGAAAGCTGATATAAGTACGATCGTCTCATCAGAAAACTCAGTGAACTGGTACATAAACATGGAGTCCCAAGTAGAACCCACATGGAATCAATTTAAACGACTTTACGTCCAAGTAGCTGAACCTTTCTTTCCTTGGTCCGTCCCAAGGTGTCGGAAGCATTGCCCATTGGATAAACCGAGAGATCCGTAAGTTACTCAGACGTAAACACAAATGCCGGAACCTGTTTGCCACACCTGAGACTCCTCAGACCAGAAAAGCTGCTACACAAGTCCGCCAATTAAGGATGAAGTTCAAAGCACATATAGCTCAAAATGCAAAGGCACAAACTAATAAAATTCCTTTGTACAAGAGCTTAAGGAATAGGACATAAAATTGAGTCCCAAAGCTCACTATTAACAACGACACAGTCGATGAAGACCAAGAAGAAGCAGAAGCAATGTCAGGCCACTTTTCCGAATTCTCTACATAGGAGTCATCACTCCTCATATCATTAGCTCTGCCGCACCAGAGGAACACAATGTAGACTCTGTTGACGCCGAACAAGACATCGTGCTCGACTGCCTAAATAAACTAGATGTAGGGAAATCAATGGGTTTTGATAGTTCTCGGCCAAAGCTTCTCAAGGAACTACCAGCTCACACTGCCGGCCTCCAAGCTATATCTCAGAAATCAGTGTTATCACTAGACTGAAAAGGCGCCGTAATGATCACCATCAACAAATGAGGATCAAGGAAACGCCCCTCAAATTACAGGCCTATCAGTCTCAACGGCTACTCAATCAAGATGCCGGAAATAACAATCAAGGAAGCTATCATGGAATATCTGGAAGGTAACATTTTTTTATCCAGAGCTCGGAATAACTTGCAGGAAAATCAGGATCAACTGAAAACTCTTCTCCTGGAAGACACTAAGTTGGGGGAGTGCCAAAAGGCACTACACTCGTGCTCCACTTCTTTATTTTGTACATCAGTGAGTTATATGTGCTAACCAATTCTCCTATGGTTCTGTACTCAGGTGATTGAGAAATTATATGCAGCCGAATGGTGACAGTGTCAATCTCACTTTGCAAGAAGTCCTCAACTAATCGTCAGGGTGGTCCGGAGAATGGATGCTTCCAACCAATGTATCGAAATGTGCCACCGTGCGCATTGGACACACAAGTCTCAGCTTCCACGAACTGCAGGGAATAACAATGCTTTGAGTTGAGATACATTTGGATTTTGGTGTTTCAACGGAACACTATCTAAAACCTACAGCACATTGTCGGGCTGTGGCTGCACGTAGTTCCAGATCCTAATGGGCGATTCGCTGAGCCTTTACTAGAGTCACCATAGAAATGTTCACCTCTCTATATACATCTCTGGCGACGTCAAGACTGGAGAGCTCTATACAGTCAACCAGCACTTTTCTTAAAAAAGGGGACTCACATATTCTGGAAAGGTTTCAGAGGATGGCAAACTTTAATTCCTGGCTGACTACTTTATCGTACGAAGAAAGGATAGACAGTCTAAATCTCTTCCCCCTTATCATACCGCAGGCAGAGAGGAGATACAATTACAGTGTTTAAAATTATAAATAGTAACTACAGGCCTGATCTGTCCTACCGGATGAGAACACCTTGGAGGACATAGCAGAAGAATTCAAAAGCCTAGGAGAAACTATATTGTTGAGGAGTACTGGTTCTCACACCGAGTTGTAAACTCTTGGAACCTACTCCTTGAAGACTTGGCGTCAGCTCCACGAGTTGACTCATTCAAGAAGTAAAAACAGAGGAATTTACTAGAAAAGGATTAACACAGGCTCCAAGCCTTCTATCCTCAATTAACAAACCTGAATCTAAATGCAAAAAAGTTCCCATAAAACTACAGAAAAACGTATCAAGACTGTCGTACGGATTTCCAGTATAACAAATACAGAATCCAAGTAAATTCTAATTCATCATTTGTTCAACAACAGGATTTCATAGTGTGTCGATATATGGAAGTTCGTTCGAACTTTATGTTGATAATGAATTAAGGACGTTTTGATGGCGGCGGATTGAGTGTTGCCTTTTTGATACCAAGTTTGTGCTCGGCGATATCGTAGTGTTTGCTCTATCCATATCTAGTGTTTGTTCTGTTCAAGAAAAAATTATTCTCCAGCATATACTTTTGTATGTAACAAAGATTCGTGGTGTAATATGAAGGAATTTCACGCTCAGGGGTGATATATGTACATAGTATTTTCTGATAGATACATTAGTTCACATAATTTAGACTGAGTCATCGTCTCGTGGCTGTCTATAATGAATTTATTTTTTCGTAGTTATATCTGAGGGTGATTACTTGTCTTGAGGCTGTAAACTTCAATGATAACAGTACTGTGTCTACAACGTTGTTGAAACTAAAGGTTAATACCCTAGATGAAGCTATAGGATAAGGAGTGGGTGAAAAAAATGGTGGGTCATAAATGAATTGTATTCAAAGCACTACAAAGTTATTAGTTTGTACTTGGTTTTGGTATTAATGTTGAGAGATGTGTTGTGATTGGTAGTCAGACCAAAAATGGGAATCAGACTTTGGTCCTAGACATAGTTTAACTCCACTGTAATATTTTTAGGTGACATTGGTAGGACATCATGCATTCCTGTAATCTCCTGTGGCTGTAATATTACAGCCACATGTCATTAATGACATGTAATTGTGGCAAATATATTCAGCTTCATGTTCTCAATTCAGTTTCAGATAACCGCTATACAGAGAGGGTTTCAAATAATAGTTAGTTCATTTATGACTGTAACAGGTGGCAACATGTTAAACGGTTCGAAAATGTTGGAATTGGTCCTATCATCATCATCATCATCCTCAAGATAGCATTATTCTCAGTGATAATTATCTTACCCAAGTTTTCGCACTTGAAAGGCACCGTAAGCCGTTACTTAATAAAGGTGACAACTTCGCCATGAACTGTAATCACTCAGTTCACGATAAAATATGCCTTGAAACTGAATTCTGATGTGTGAGGAATTATGGTGAAGTTATGGAAAATAAATCATAATTACCATAAGAAAATTTTTGAACTTATCTATTATTCGTTTTATAGACAGTTGTGCCTGAATCTCAATGGGCAAACCAAACTTGGAATTGTTCATCTGATATTTTATTTAATCTACATTCCAAGCGGAAGAAATTGATTTGATTTCACAGTTTATTTTGAGTAGAGAAATAAAAGTTTAAGTAGTGTTACATTTTCAAGCGGAGTAAATAAATGTTTGATGGATGGGTGGGGGAGTCAGATTCACTTATTTCCACCTACGTTTCGGTATAATCATACATGTTTATTTTATTGATATTAGGTAAACACTCATCTTAAACAAAGCAAATTATAGAACTAATCATTAGATGTTGACGTCGGTCACTGAATCAGCAGATTTTTGATTACTTCTATTACTCTATTTAACTAGTCATGTAGGGGTTTCCAGGTAAACACTTACTGTTTAAACCAGCCCTAGAAAATGACTGAGAGTATTAACATATTAACAGTTATATAACGGTAATAATGGCCTTATTCATAGGAGAAACCTCAAACGATATAAAGATATTGAGCTAGTTAGTTTATTTAGCGCCTTGATTTATGCATTATTATACACCCAGATAAATTTTACTCACTTCTATTCCCAAAAACATTTTATATCATTCTGATGTGTATATCCCTCGATATTTTCCCCTAGAGTTAACACTGCCAAGCTCTGTTGTGTATAGCACATGGATTCTGGGGTTACCTGTGGAACTTCTACATACACATCTGTAAGTCTATTTCAAAAGTCCAAGTAGTCGATAATTTCACTCAAAAAGCATTCGCATTTTCATGTGTTAGCTTTTACAGACCTTTTATATATGTAGCGTAATGGTATTATTAAAGTTTATTTTTCATATGGGCATCAGGATGTACCCTATAATTAGTGCAGTAGATACAACATGTATTCAGTTCATTAACTTATGTTTGAAAATAGCCTAGTTCAATAGACTTGAGCCATACAAACTGATGATACTCACTGATAAAGGTGTGTCAGTGGCTCATGAGGAAAATGACTACCAATCATGCAACTGGTCTGGGTTCGATTCCTAGCTGATGCACTCGTAAACCCCACCCAGCCGGTAGTAGGCACAGAAAAGAGGGAAGGTTGTGTTCGACGCTAGCAATCCCACCCCGTAAAAAAGACGGGACAGCTACTGAAACTTCAAAGCTTAAGGTTTGAAGCTGTATGTCCCACTCGGAATGCATTCTCACTTGCTCCCTATTGGGATTTTAAGCTTGGAATATTTAACATTTTTAAATGTAATTGAGCATAGTAGTCAGCATCAGGGAAGTTGTCTGTAATATGTTTTGTAAACTAACCTGACGATAGAGTACGGTGGTGTTTGATAGCGAAATCGTTGATTCGGTAAAGTGATTTGCCGTAATAGAAAGATATAAAAGTCTTACATTGGGACTTCAGTTTGCAAAGGTTTTTCACATTCTGTTTCTTTTGTCTTCATTTCATAATTTCTATGCTACATATCACTGAAATACTATCCGGGAGCAGTAAAGTTCAGTGTATATATTTGTAGTCTTAGTCATTAGTGGGTTAATGCACCTAGGTCGAATCCAATTGCCCTTACTTTATTCTGGGTGTATCTGGATAGTATAACCACCTCTAAAAACCGGGTACATGAAAAATCTGTCACGAATAGGAGAGTTCTGACTTTTATCCCCTGAGAATGAGATGATTTTCAGTTTTACTAACAATTAAATGAAATTACTCATTGTTATTGTTATTATTTTTTTATCGTAGACTAGTCCAGATCTATATTTCCGTGATGGCAAACGTAGAACGGATTATGTTCTCGCATATCGGTATTCTGCATCAAAACGTTTCGATCAGAATAGGCGTCACTTATTTTTGAATGAGTTAGCCAAACAAAAAATAGAAATCGAAGTAAGTTCCGCTTTTGTCTGTGAGTTCTTCTCTTCTTCTAATTATTTATTTTTAAAAAGTAAAAATGCCATTTTAGAGTTGTTATCTTCTCTTAGCTCAGTTATGTTTGTTTTAACTCATTTGCTCGAGGTAAGTCCTTCATGTAGCAGACTAGTGAACCCACTTCATCTATCGAGGTTTGAGCAGCCAGACAGTATAAGTAGCCCCCCCACGGCGTAGGTGTGGCTCATTGCCAGCTTGCTTGGAATTCCTATTGTTTGTTGAGTAACGTATGTATTGCATCTATCTGCAAACCGAACTCTTAAGCCAATGTGCCACATTTCAGCTGTGGTCTCTCGTTTGGATAGTTCAGTTGCAAAAAGTTTTCACTGGCTTTCTAGACAATCACTTCAAGAGTAAGTTTGTATTGAAAATGTGTTGTCTAGACAGACAAAATGAAGAACTCTTCTTAATTAAACCGTCTGGTGCAGAGAAGACAAATACCTGACTGATTGAGTTTTCAGCGTGAAAATCTGCACAAAAGTTCCCCAGTTCTATTTGCCATTCTTCATAAAGCACACATACGGGTAGAAAAACAAGAAAATCTAAAAGAACTGTAATAAACGAAAACTTACGAAAGAAAAAGTGCATGGAAAATAAGGGAAGTTCAATGGATTTTAGAATTCATAAAAGAAGTGAATACATATGTGGCCCAAGTGGTCTAGTGGATAACACTTTGGTGCTTGGAACTATGGGCACTGGGTTCGGGCCTCGGTCAGGACATTATCACTATGTGCGTCGGTGGCATAGCGGTTAGGACGCCCACAGACCATGCACATGGTGCGGGATTCGATCCCCGGCCGACGCACTCCTTTACATCGCTAGGCCAGAAATAATGCTGGTAAAGAGGAAAGGTTAGGCATGAGGCTGGCAACCCTACCCTGTAAAAATTAAACACTGCTACAGAAACTTCATTCCACTAGCTTGAAGCCCTATGTTCCACTGGGAACGTGAAGGAAAGAAAAAAAATTGAGAACGATTTTGAATTATATCATCAACAGTCTCGAGCCACTGGTTCTTAGCGTCTTAAGCACCTCGATACGTGAGTAACTCAAACCAGTAGTCAAAGACTTGATGGATTGGTGCTATGTTTTATTTCACCTTCCTTAAGTCTTTTCCAACCCAATCCTATATAAGCTAAGATTTTTCGACAAAGGAAGGTAATGCCTTGGTATGCCTAACACTCAATGAACCCAACTACACCAGTATTAACCATCTGAACTAAAATGGTTAGAGTTAGTGCAGTCTTATTTGCTCTTGATAGCTTTTTATTTTCTCAATGAAGCGTTATGCTGTCGTCTGTTGCGTCACTTATAAACCAAAGATAAAGTCATTCAAATGTGACTTTCAGTATTTAATATTGCAAACAGAATTGGGCTTACTAGACTGTGCATCATACATAAAAGTAATGTTAACAATAAGTGCGGTTATCATAACTCAGCATAACTTTTGTTTACACAAACCTGAATTTCTTCTGGATGTGACTGTTCTATCTTTCTTTTTAGACAATATATTCAGTACAAACTTCAATGTTTATTAGACTTATTCTGCATTAATGATAAAGTTGTCTCTCTTGATGGCCTTGGTTATTATTGGTTATTTATTTGTATCCGTATTGATTATTTTTATTGACTTGGCATAAAAATGAAAGCTTCTCAATTGAACCACTCAGTTCTGAGAACACAGCCACATCAACATCATCCATCCGAGATGCAGAAATCTTCATTATTTCTTTCTTTTCTGAGTAATTGCATAGAATAAGATGTAGTTGATAATGATATCATATCTAATGACACAGTTAAGTCGAGTACTGATAAAAGCTGTTCCTTTTAATCACACTAATCTTTGCTAAGTCCAGTCACTGCTTAGATTTGGTTTAGAGACGTGACATCACCAAAAGCATTTTCAATAAACAGATTATAGGCTTTTATCAACAGCTGTCTTCGCTCGATACTGGAGACTAGATGGCTGATCGAAAATGATAAGCAGAAAGGAACTTTGATAGACAGAGGAACAGCCCGGAAGCTATTACCTAACAGATATGCAGGAAAATATGGCGATGGTTTGGATATACACTGGAAAGGATTTCAAACGACATCAAACATCAGGCTAAAGTGTGAAACTCGAAGGCGGAAGCGACGAGTTGAGCGTCCAAAACTAGGGCAAAGTAGATCAAGAAGGGAAGAAAATGAAACCTGGTGGAGTCAGCTAAAAGTGATGACAAAGAACGGAGTCGAATGGAGACATGTTGCTGATACCCGTTGTTTCACTCGGTTGCAAGCAATGGATGATAATTTAACATCAGTGACAGATACACTAGAAAACGTAGTTTGATCTATGATTGCAAGGAGAATTTCAATTCAAAGGAATCACATCAAGCGTATGTATCTTAATTGACTGTGATGACGGGATAATCTTAGGTATGTCTCATTGGCCTAAGCATTAGTCTTCCAACGGGCTCGGGTTCGAGTCCGTCCTCAGCCCTCTTCAACCTGGGCGTGTTTCTGAAATACAACATACATCAATGGCTCAGGACGCCAGAGTCTTGGCTAGTGATGCTTGTCGTCCTATTTGGCAAAGTGTCCTAACATTAAATTCTCCTATATGAAATTGGTGGCGTGGCTTTAGGAGACTATCGGTGGTGGTTTTTTGGCTTCCGTCGTTTTTAGTGGATACAGAGTGAAGAGGAAGTGAGGAGCCATCAAGTAGAGGAGTTGCATCAGTGCAAGGAAGGCAAGGCGATAGAGATGAAGATGAAGACAAAGATGAGTGAGGATTAGAGAGGTTTCGTGTGCATTTCGGATTGTGAGGGCGATTGTTACTTCCCGGCTGCCCACACCGTGGAAGTTGGTTGCGTGACCGCAGAGCCCAGGGGACAACTGCTTGAGGCCGGTCACATGCCGCCTGCTTTTGTTTGTTCTTTATTGTTTGGTGTATCTCAGTAGCACATTTATCACTTCTGCCCTGTGACACGGGAGCAGTAAGCGCGGTCGTTGTTAATCCGGGCCCCAACCGATCCGGTATGATATTTTCTGAATTTGGATTTTTGAATTTGAATTATGGTATTGGATTGGGTAGCTGCTTTTTATCTAACCGTTAACCAAACAGCCTTTCTGGCACGGTAGGACCTCAAGAGACATAATTCTCAGCCAGTATAGCTTGATTAGGTGATTGCGGTGTTCAAGCCCAACCACCACGTCAAGATAGCAGCTTTCGGTCGGGAGCCTAAGCCACTAGTCATCCAACCAACTGAGCTCGGGTTCGAGTCCATCTCCAGCTCTCTTCAATCTGGGCGAAAGAATAGCATAATTGGTCCTCACACAATAATTGTAGCTCATAGCCTAAAGATAAAATATCCGTCCTAAGTAACTGAGTTCTACTTAATTATTCTGCCTACATACGGACATAAATTATAAGTCTTAAATTAGTATGGGATAGCTGGCTAGTACTCTGTAGTTTCCAGTGGTTCTCTAACTGTTGCCAATCAGTGAACTAACTTCGGATCAATCAAATTTCCGCAAACCAACACTTACTTGAATATTGTTGATTCCCATCATTAGGAAGTTTTTGTTGTTTATAGCGTATAAGAGAAGCTGTCTTATTTTTTTGAGCAAGTCAATTATCGACTAATGAATCGCAGGTTCAAATCCTGTCTAATAGATGCTGTGGTCAGTCAATCTGGGCAAAGAGGGAAAATCAATCGACGAGGCTATAAAGTTACATAGATTAAGATGGCTAGGTCACGTGCTGCGCATGCCTAACCACCGCCTCCCCCGACGGGCATTGCTAGCTGATATAGGTGGTGCAGGTTGGAAAAGAGTAAGTGGTGGCCAAACAAAAACATGGCCTCATCAATCCATGAAATCCTTGACAGTTAAACTGAGTCAGGTAGGGAGATGCAGACTCCCGGGTTGGGGCCCTCGGGACTGACTCTAGGAATCAATGGCTGGAGACAATAGGTGACATGGCTCAAAATCGTTGTCAATGGCCAGTTCAGATGCATTCAGTCTCTGTAATCTTTCATATTCCTTTCTACCATTACCCATTCTGTTTCACTCTTATACCTGTCAAACTCTATTGATTCTCTTCACTCATCTTCTTGTCTATTTGGAACGTGGCAACTGGAACTGGTGCACTTCGGTGCCAAGTTTTATGTTGAATCCAGACGGAGACAGATCAGTCTTCAAACTACAATAATGGCTTATTTTCAAGCGTACATAAATACTTCTCATCTATAGACTTGGTGATTTCACGAATAATACCTATATTATTAAAACAAACCATTTTTAGTTTGTCAGTCATCAATCTATTAGTGTAATCCTATTGTTTTTCTTCTAAAACACTATAAATTTCGTATTGTTCATTCATTTAATTTTTATTCAACAGGTTGAAGATTGTAATGGTCGCCTATTAGGCTCTACTTCAGTTTCACTGGATGATACTTCATCTACACTTACTCAAGCAACATTTGTACAAAAAATAGAGTCTCAATTATCATCATCATTGTCGTCACCGCCACCACCACCACCACAACGACTACAACCACCGACTACAATTGTAGAAGATACTCCACAATCTCCTAATCATATACCATCTGATAAATATGCTGAATCAGATAAACCAACAGATAATACAAGTCCACCATCGTCAATGGAACGTTATCGTCATAAAGCGTTGAATGATGAAGAAATCCTGCTGACACCGGATAATTTAATCTTTGTTAAATTACACGCATCATGGGAAGCAATGACATATTATGCAGAATATCTGAAAATGCGTAAACCATTAAGACAGGTAAGTAGAAAGAAATATATACATATCAAAGTTTGTTGATAAAGTGTGAAAGATTAAATCTTTGAGATCATCTTTTTAATTCACAGGTTCTCATTAACTGAGAGAAACCACTTTAAAATTACAAATAGGGTTGTTTAAATGTTAGAGTGATTATAGGGAGAATTTTTAGAAATCAGGGAATCTAATTTATGCCACTGGTTATTTATTATTTTATTATTATTATATCCTTTAATTCCTAGAGGAACATAGGGCTTCAGCTTCACGTATCCATTGCTTTCTGTTTTCTGCCAACTTTTTCACCTCGCTCCAAGTCTGCCCACATGCTTTCATCTCCTCCTCACATGACCTCCTCCAAGTCACCCTTGCACTGACGACCAACTCGCCACCCGCTTCCCTTTCAGGCTCCACTCGAGCGATGGGTTGTCTAGTGACGTCACTTGATGGTTTCCTCAGTGTATGACCAATCCATCTCCATTTCTTCCTGCCTATTTGTTTCACAATCGGTTCCTGCTGGATTGGTTCGCTCATTGCCAGGAATCCCTATTGGTGATCTTTTCTGGCTGGCCATCTGATCTTGAGTATTGAGCGAAGAGAACTGTTAATGAAGATCTGAAGTTTGTTTGATATGCTCTTTATGACGCGCCAAGTTTCTGATCCGTATAGTAGGGAGCGCTGACTTCACATTGAAGTTGAAAATCTGGATCTTATTTTTGATAATGAGTGCTGTTGACCTCCACACAGACTTAAGAGTAATGAAAGCTTGTCTTGCTTTTCCGATTCTGGCTTTGATATCGTCGTCAGTTCCATCTTCCTGTAGTTGAAACGATGCTTCCCAGGTGGGTAAAGGCGGCTGTTTCTTTCAGGTTCCTCCCATTTATGCTGGCTGAGTGTTGTCTGTTGTTGTTGTTGTTGCTGTTGGTGTTGGCCAGGAATCTTCATCACCTCTGTTTTATCTATGTTCACATAAAGTCCTATCTTTGATGCTTCTTCTTTGGCCAGCTTGTTGCTTTTCACTTACCACTGGTTATCTATCATTAATTTATAGAGAAGAAATTCGGGCATTACAATAATCTTCACTACAATTGATTCGTGATGAGCTGACATCGGTTGGGCGACCATTTGAAAACCTGAGGGTACTGGCCAGCTGTTTCTTCCTATCTTGGTACTCTCCCAATGGTTTCCGGATGATTCTCTAGTCGATGTCAGCTCATCATGAAATCCTGTAACCAATCAAATCCCCGCAAACTAACCACTGTTTCTACTCTATCAGTTAGCTATAAATGTAGATGATTGAGTACAGTTTGTGACAAATGTAAAAAAGCACTGTAGTTCACCAAACAAATTTAAAGAAAATAAAATAGACTGTGTTTCAGAAATACCTCAGAGAGATTAGATATCCCAGTGAAATTCATCTTAAAAAGTATAGCAGAGTGAAAAAGAAAAAAAAATTCAACTGCTGAATAGAAGGAAGTTTATATTCATCTTCTGCACTGTGTTGCAAAGAATCGATATAAGGTGGAGTGGACAGTAAAAAGATGCTACCCTGCAGTCGCACTTTTATAAGTATGTAGGCAGCTCATTTTTGAAAAGCCAAGTGTATTTGTTAAATTTACATATTAGAAAAAGCTTATGATAAACAACTAGTCAAATTAAGTAATGCTAGATTGTAAGGGGCGAGAAACACATTCATCATCAACCTGAAACCAATCTGGAAATCTTCGTCACTCAGCACCAACAACAAAATTCGCTTTTTTAATACAAACGTCAAATCAGTCCTTCTATACGGATAGGAAACTTGGTGGGTCACAAAGAATATTTCCGACAGCCTGTTGCAGACATTTATCAACAATTGTCTTCGCTCTATACTGAAGATCAGATGGTCGGGTCGGAAAGAATCACCAACAAGAAACTATGGGAACAAACAAACAAAAGAAGAACCAATCGCCCAACAAATATGCAGGAGAAAGTGGAGATGGATTGGACACTCGTTGAGGAGGCCAGTTGGTGGCATCGTGTGCGCGTCAGGCCATTGCTGGATGGGACTCGAAAGGGAAGCGGCGAGTGGGACGTCAGTGCAAGGGTGACATGGAAGAGATCGTGTGAAGAGGAGTTGAAAGAGTATGGACTAACATGGATGCAGATGGAAAGTACAGCAGAAGGAAGACAGAAGTGGCAAGTGGAGGCGTGCAGTTGAAGCCCTATGTTCCACTAGGAACCCAAGGGAACAATAAAATATAATAAATGATAGATTGTAAGGAGGGTGTCCCTTCAGTCGCCAGTCGAACAAGTGGTCCAGGGTCCTATTCCGGGCCGAAAACCTCCTAAGCCTCCTTCAGCTAGTAGTAAGTCCGATCAAGAGGAAAGGTTAGGCGTGAGACTAGCCACCTCATCCCTTCATAGCTCTGGCTTGAAGCTCTATATTCCCCTGGGAAATAAAACAAAAGCGATTGTAAGAGAAGTAAGTAAACTGTGTTTTAATGAAGATGTGATATGATTAAAGGATGATAAGAGAGGGGATGAAAATATAAGTAAGGGGTGATGAAGAACTCATCAGTTGGTTAGGTTTTAATAGGACAATAAAGGAGGGATACTGGCTGAATGAACTTCTTTCGAATGCATAGTTTAGACTGAATAATTTAAATGCTAATCTCTCCCACTGGAAAAATTCGGTGGGATGGAATGAATCACCTTCAATACTTTTGTTTTTACCACTAATTGATCAGTATCGACTAAATGTAACACAATAGAGCTTCGCATGATTTTTATTTGTCCTTTGTAAAATGACGATGGAAGATGTTCAATAACATCCTGGCTAAGCTCTCTAGTAGTAAGTCCAACATATGTGTCTCCGCAGGAGCAGTTGGACTGATTAGTGCACATAGATATGGGGAAATCATCTAGCTTATCTTTCCTTTGACTACCAATCATTCACTGGGTACAAAAGGATTGATTTGTTTTTAAAATCTATTGATAAAGTTATGTTTATTACAGCTAAGCCTGATGAACTTTAATTGAAAACACAATATTGTTCACTTATTTTAAATTTCACCGTGTGAATATTTAACACTTTCTTTCTTACTGTATCGAAATTTAGTAAGGCAACTATGTGTATGGAAAAAAGTGTGTTTTGCACTTTCGTTTTTTTTACTTTTTGTTGTCGTGTTTTGCTTGTTACTACAAGTACTAACTTGTAAAAGTTGTTCATTAAAAAAAATGTCACTATTCAATTTTCTCACCAACATAAAAATATTCATACCTGAGAGCAATAAAATGAATAGGCTCATATCTATATATTTAACTTGAAGTAAATTGGTAGATGGTAACTGTCTGTCTGTCTGTCTGTTTTCGACATAGAACTTTGCACAAATGTGCGGAAGTTCAAGTCGCCACATTCCGTGTAGCACGCGAAGCAAGAGAAGAAAGTACAAGAAAAGCATAATAGAAACAGTGAGCAGAGGTGTGAGACAAAGGAGTAATAAAGAAATACAAAACAGTTTCATTGGAGATCATAAGTCACAGGGAGTGGATGCATCTGCGCTAGCCACTGAGAACGATTTTGAGCCATGTCACCAATTGTTTCCAACCATTGATTTTTACCGTCCCGAGGACCTCAGCCTGGAAGTCTACACCTTCCTACGTGGCTTAGACCAACTGTTGTGGATTTCATTGACTGATGCCAAGTTTTTGTTTGACCGCCGCTAGCTTTTTTCCAGTCTGACCCTATATCCGCTAACATTGCTCGTCGAGGGAGGCGATGGCTTGGCATACGTAACACATGTCCTAACCATCTCAGTCGATGTAGCTTCACGACTTCGTCGATTGATTTCCCTGTTTACCTAGAACTCTACGCCTAACCTCCATGTTGCTCACCTTATTATGCCACTTTACACGGGAAATAGAACGCAGGCACCTATGATCAAAGACAGCTAGTCTTTTCATGTCTTCCACTCTCAGTGGCCAGGTCTCACAACCATAAAGATGGTAACTAGCAATGGAATCCAGAATGTTCATTTCGTCCTATTTGGGACTTGTCTTCTGGATGTTTCAAACGTCAAAGCATTAACCCTTTAGACCACTGATGCAACTGTTGTACAGAAAACAGGTGACCCATCACTCATTGACTTACTGGGGGACACAGGTACTTCCAGATGACGAGTCCTAAATAGGACGAAATATGCTTCGTGTATCCCACTGCTAGTCATCATTCACCAATTGACTTTAAGTTAAATGACCAGACATCGTCGAAGCGTCTGCACAAGGAGCTGACATGTCAACCTGACACTGAGTACTTTGGTCCAAACGATCGATCGACGGGAAAGTGCAAATTAAATTAGACAATCATATCTATGTTATTTATCTATCCAGAAGTTCACTGCTTTTAAAAAATGTACATTGTAGTGAAAGTAATAGTCATTGTCATAACTTGACTGATAGCTGCTACCTTGACGTGTTGGTCGGACTTGCATATCCCAATGACTCAGTGAGCTACACTGACTGGGGGTAATATTCCTTCAGAATAGTTGTTCACTTAACGATTAGACTAAATGCAGCTGCCGTCATAGTGTAAGTTGTTTACATTGTGTTGGGGGTCTGTGGACGAAGTCGTACTACTAGTGAATAGGGATGTAACAGCAGTAAGGTGTTTCCTTCAGATGATCAGCAAGCCACCTATCCTGTTGCTCCGCTCTGGAAAGACAGGCAGTTAGGAAAAGTCGACCCTGGAAATTGTACGTCCTGATTTACCTTACGATGGTCTTCAGCCGGTGGTAAGATCTTAATATGGATGCTGGTCCATAAACTAATTGAAACAAGCCATTCGTGACCGGCCTTAAGCAGTTATCCCCTGGGCTCTGTGGTCAAGCAACCCATAGATAATTGTCTGAATATGATTGTTTGGGTTGAAAATCCCCTCGATTTTAGCGTAATATGTTGGTTGGAAAAATGTTAATTATAGAGGTGTTTTTTAGGATTCGGTTCATTTTCAGCTGGGATGCCGTCAC